GCCTCCCACGGTGGTCCCCGGGGGAGACCTGGCCAAGGTGCAGCGGGCTGTGTGCATGCTGAGCAACACCACAGCCATCGCTGAGGCCTGGGCCCGCCTGGACCACAAGTTTGACCTGATGTACGCCAAGCGGGCCTTTGTCCACTGGTACGTGGGGGAGGGCATGGAGGAAGGGGAGTTTTCCGAGGCCAGAGAGGACATGGCCGCCCTGGAGAAGGATTATGAGGAGGTTGGTGTGGATTCTGTGGAAGGCGAGGGTGAGGAAGAAGGAGAGGAATACTAAAAATGTCACAAAGGTGCTGCTTTTACAGGGAAGCTTATTCTGTTTTAAAAATTGAAAAGTTGTGGTCTGATCAGTTAATTTGTATGTAGCAGTATATATACTCATATACAATTACTGACCTCTGCTTTAAAACCTGACACTTTGTTACAGACCCCAGTTGTCCATTTCTGTAATGAGTTTGAATAAAGTATTCCCTGTCTTAAATGAGTACAGTCTTGTGTTCTCTATTTGACTCTGAATATTTTCCTATATTTCAGTATGTTAAGGCTGTAATTTATGCATATCCTATGAAATGACAGATTACATTTTTAATTACCTTAGTATACATAAAGTAGAAAATATATATATATCTAAAGCTTACCATTACATAACATACATACTACTCCTAAATTTGATTCCATTGTAATAGTTAAACTGCTTATAATTTTTTTTAGATCTATTTATTTATGCATACAAGAACAGGGATACTAGCCAAAGGTGCTGGGGGGTGGGCAATCAGAACAGGTAGATCTACTGAAATATATTGCTGAGGGAGCAGCAGGTGAAACGAGGTCTGCTGTACCTGGCCAGGGACTGAGTTCTGGCTGCAGTGGCCAGATGGCTATAGTGCTGCACTCTAACCCGTTGTGCCACCAGGAAGGTCTCTGCTTGTTAATACACAACCAAAGGTCAAGCTGGCTGCTGAGTCTATACAACCAAGGGATAAAATGCTGTATATTCCAGATGTGCTTATCTGAACTTCCAAGTTTCATGCCCTGAAATCTCCTTGGCACTTGGATGCCATTATACCCCTGCCCTCAGTTCTCAAAAGAAGTCTGCTTTCTCCAAGCAATGACCTGCTTTACTAAAAGTAGTCATTTCTTTCCAATTTTTTTCAGTTAAAATATTTTAGTCACTTTGGAAAACAAATTTATTATCTCCAATGTGTTGATTATTTTTGTATGTGTGTATATAGATATATACAAATTTGATATATTTGGGTTTTTAACTCCAAGATTTCTTCATATAAATTATATATGTATATGTAAGTACATAGATATATACACATATGAATTTTAACACTCCAAAGTTTCTTTAATATGGGCCTGTGACTTCAAAGAACAGTATTCTAATAACTCATTTACAGGCATCAGGACCAAAACAATGAAGAAAATTGTTTTGGGCCAGCAGTTTCTTCAATAATAGAGAGTTCAGCTGTCAGTCCCGCTGACCAAGATGCTAAGGACCCAAGGACAAGTTATCTTGTTCTGGGATAATATGCAGGGGTGAGGATATACTTTTTGTTATTAATACCTATTTCATTTATTTTTCATTTTCTTCTGCCATCTCGGGGGCATGGTAGTATTGTATTTACCCGAACCTAAATTGAATGTAACTTGATAGAAATAATGAAGCTAATGCAAATGGAACATTATAAATGAACAAAATAAATGACCTCACTATCATTTTTATTCAGATGGAAAAATGTGAAAACTATATCAAATTTTTAAAAAGATTTATTTATAGTTGCATAGAGAACTGGGATGAAGACCAGAGGTGTGGGGGGTGAAAGGATGCACCAGAGGGAGTGAGGAGCAGAAAAGGCAGATGTACTGAGATATACTGCTGAGGGGAGCAGTGGGTGAGACAGAAGAGGTCTGCTGTGTCAAGTGGGTCAGCTCCCTGGCAGGGATTCTATCTCATGCCATGGCAATGATAGCACTGAGATTTAACACCTAGGCCACCAGGGAGAAACTCAAATGTAAATTTTTAATGTATATTCCCAGTACCAATTAAAGGGTAAAATAGATATACAGTGATTATTGATAGAATGAATCAAGCGTAGGGCAGAAGAAACAAGGGTAAAATCAAAGAAGTCCTTATCTTAATTGTAACTATCAGGGTGAATTTGTAATATATTTTTTATTATGAAAGTAAAAGAAACATTTTAGGACCTCACCTTATCCACTGAAAGTCTGGGACAATGCAGCAATGGAGATTCCACAGCACTCAAATGGTGGCCTCTAAATACTATTTCTCACTAGCAGGAACCAGAATGTTTTAGAGAAATAACTGGTTCCAACCCTGGGGTAGGTGATATACAAGTTCAACTGCAACAATTTTCTCACTTCAGGAGGCAAGGAAGACTAAAGTCATGATGAAGGTGCTCTCATTGATGGTGTAATGTGAACCCTGAAGCATTAGTGACTGCAGTGGATTGAAACATATAAAATATGTATGTTAAAATCCATGAGCTCATAATGTTTGCATAGTTTAAAAGAGCAGAAACAATATAGCAGTTATTTTAAAAATTAAACATAATTCTATGACCCAGGGTCTTTGGTGGCTCCAGGGGTTAAGTCTCAGCACTATGAGTTCAATCTCCGACCAGGGAGGTAACCCACATGGCACAGCAGACCTCTCCTGTCTTGCCTGCTTCCCTGAACAGTAGACCTCAGTCTATCTGCTTGTTCTGCACCCCACTCCATCTCTGGTGAATCCTCTCACCCCCTGCACTTCTTGCCTGTACCCCCAGTTCTTATATGCATACATAAATAATAATTTTTTAAGGGAAAAAATCTAAAAATAATTTTATGACCCAGCAATTCCATTTCTGGATACCTAAAAGAATTGAAAGGAGGGACTAGGGCAGATTTTCATAAATCCATGACTTTAGCAGCATTATTCACAATAACCAAAAGTTGAAAGCAATCCCAATGTCCACTGGCAGATGATTAGACAAATGTATGGTATTCACATACAACGGTATATTATTTAGTCTTATAAAGGATTCTGAGACATACTTTCAACTTTGAACTTTGAAGACATTATATTAAATAAACTAGACACAAAAGAACAAATATTGCCTGATTCTACTTATCTGAGGTACTAACTGATAGGGTACTCAAATTCATAGAGACAGAAAGTAGAATAGTGGTTACCAGGGACTGGAAGGCAGATTATAATAGGAAGTTGTTTAACAGACACAGAGCTTCAGTTTGGAATAATGAAAAAGTCCTGGAGATAACAGTGGTGATAACAATACTAATGATTTTAATGCTACTGAATTGTACATTTAAGAAGTGTTAAAATGGTAAATTTTATGTTATTTATATTTTATCACAATTCAAAAAATAATAATGGGCACATATGCCAAGAACTAAAAACCAAAAAGGTTTCTTGTAGGATGAAGGGACACAGCCTAAACGAACTAAATGATTTGTAATCATTGACTAGATGTAACTGCTTTACATAATTATAGTAAATAATTAAATCAAGGTGGGAAAATCTGTCAAAACAGCAGTTTGATTGCACAGCCACAGTAAGGTATATCCAAAGAAAAGAAAAAACTCCAAAAAGATAATTTCAGTAACCATATTGCTAGTAATAATGCTGGTATTATTACTTTGAAGATACACAAATCAAAATTCTAGAGATATTTTTATCTATTGAATTAGATACTTTTTTCTAAAGATTTATTTACTTACAATTAGATTCTAAGAGAAAATCAGATACTACAGAAGAAAAGATTAATGAAAGAAAATAGAATAAAAGTTATTCAAAATAATGCAAAACAAAAATGAGAAAAATGAACAAATATGGATACTAAGAACAGAAGTAGAAGCGATTGAAGATAACAGCATTTTTCAACAGCTTGTAAAGTTTTAAGGACAAAAATTTTAACCTTTAGTATTATATTTTCTCAGTACATATGTTTAACATAAAATACTGCTATAGTGAATTTTAAAGAAATTGAACAACTTATTAAAGAGATTTTTTAAGACTACAATTTCCATAATATTAAAACTTTCTATTTCTATGTGTTTGTTTTCAATTGTAGTAAAATAACATGGCATAAAATTTACCAATTATTCATTATTTTAATGTTCCTTCCACCAAAGGGAATATTCCCTTTCATTCCACGGTGTGTTTATCTGTCAGTGAATATTAAGGTTGCTTCCACCTTTTTGCCATTGTGAACAATGCTTCTGTAAAGTGGGTATACAAATGATCTCTTTAAGAGCCTCTCTGCTGGCCTAGGGGTTAAGTCTCAGTGCTATCTCTGTGGCACCTTGAGTTACATCCCCAGTCAGGGAGCTGACTCACTTCTGGTGCAGCACACTCTCCTGTCTCACCCACTGCTCTCCTCAGCAGTGTAGTTTGACAATCTGCATGTTCTGCTCCCCTCTCTGTCTCTGGTGAATCATCTCATCCCACCCTGCACCCTGCCCGGACACACCTTTGGCCTACACTGCAGTTATACACAAAAATAAATAAAATCTTGGGTTTGCTAAGTTTCATGGCCATCACCAAGCACCAGTAATCCTCCACCACAGTCCACTGGGCTCCCTGCCCTCCTTGCTGCCCACCTCCTCTGGGTAACCTTAGTTTTGCAGTTAGATTTCAAGGTTTTGTTTTGGTTTTGTCTGTTCCTCTACACATGAGTGAAATAATGCGATGTTTGTCTTTCTCTTACCACAATCAACATTAGAACATTTCCTTACCCCCACAAAGAAACTATATAACCTAGCAACACTCACCCTGGGCAACCACTACATTTGTCTCTATGTCTTCCTACTTTGGACATTTCATATCAAATGGATCAGACAATATGTAGGGATTTGTAACTGATCCCTGTTTTTTTTATTAAAAAAAAACAAAAAAACTGGCCCTCCCTGGTGGCGCAGCGGGTTAAAGCACAGCACTGAGAATCTAAAGCCGCTTCCTCATGAGTTCGATTCCCGCCTGCCCCAGAGGTGACCACATGGTGTAGCAGACCTCTCCTGACCCACCCGCTGCTCCCCTCAGCAGTGTACTTCGTCAATCTGCCTGTTCTGCTCCCCACTCTGTCTCTGGTGAAGCCTCTCACCGCCCCTAAGCTTCTGGCCTGTACCCCAGTTCTGTATGCACAAATAAATAAATCTTTAAAAAAAAAAAAACTAAAGTAGGCAAATTTTGGGGCCTCCCTGGTGGTGCAGAGGGTTAAATCTTAGCACTATGAAGCTATCCTCAGCCACTGACAGCTCCCCAGCCAGGGAGCTGACCCACATGGTGCGGCAGACCTCTCCTGTCTCGCCCACTGCTCCCCTCAGCAGTGTGTTTCAGTGAATCTGTCTGTTTTGCTCCCCACTCTGTCTCAGGTGAATCAACTCATCCTCCTGCACTTCTGGCCTACACCACAGCTCTTGTATGTATACCTAAATAAATCCTTTTTTAAAAAAGACAAAT